ACCCTTGACTATTGTATGACACGCACACATCAATGAAAACTAAACACATTTTTGCTATAAATTCAGTTAATTTTAGTTAGTTTTGTGAACACTCATTCCAGTTTTAGTTAGTTTTCCTTTTTTTGTTTTTATTTTTATTTCCGTTAACAAAAATGTTTTTTCACTTCTAGTTTTCGTTAACGATAATAACCTTGTCGTGCCCTTCAGAATTACCTACACAAGTGGACAGCTTTGGATCCACAATTCAAGTCCCTGCGACACTTGGATGATGTCCCTCAGCTGAGAGTCTATGGAGCACGCACCACGGAGCTTGTCCTGAGCATTGAACAAGTACATATTCTTTTTTTCATTTTTGAAATTTTATTTTGCTACTGCTTGATTTGTAAATATAAAAAAATATAATATTATTTAAACAAATACAATTAATAGTTTGGTTGTTTATATTTCCTCAGGACCAAGCCGCAGGCACAACAGAAACTGCAAACTCTTCAGGTTCACCATCAGCATCTCCACCAGAGAAAAAGTCGGCCATGAAGGAGTTGTTTGGAGAACTGTTCATGTCACAGGAGCCAAGGACCAGGTCTGCAGCCGAAGTGGCAGAGGAGGAAATTAACTTGTACAGGTTAGCAGATGATAACCCACTGAGATGGTGGAAGGAACATCACAGCTTCTACCCTCATCTTTCCAAGTTGGCACAGTGTTACTTGGCTGCACCTGGAACCTCTGCCCCAAATGAGAGGGTGTTTTCCACAGCAGGTGACATTGTCACAGCAAGCAGATCTGTACTGTCAGCAGAACATGTGGACATCCTAATTTTTCTGAAGAAGAACATGGAAATTTTGTAAACTATGTTTTAGTTTGTATTTAAGTGGATCTTTTATTCAAGTTTCTGTTGTATATGCAGCTAAGTGCTAGCACTCCAGAAGATGAGTGTAAGGGGAGGTGGTTCATTTTATGGGTACCTGATTTGTTTAATATGCTGCTAAGAATATATCCCAGAAGAAGGGTATAGCATAGCTTTTATTTGTATTTATTTTATTTATTTTTTATTCTTTACATGGTGGTTTTTTTGTTTTGTTTTATATGGTGCTAAGTATGCACAACAGAAAATATGTGAAGTTTTTCATGTGTTTTCTGTACACCATAGAAAAAGGTTCTAAAATTGTTTTCATGTCAGGGATTGGTTGTGTTTGTTTTATATTCTGCCAAGAATAGAAAATACAGTCAGGGATCCCCTGTATGTGGTTGATACCTTGTTTTTAGAACATTTCAAATGTTTAAAAATATATTTAGGAAGGCATTTCTGTGCAATACATATTTTTATTTAAGTTGTTTTTGTTGTATACGCAGCTAAGTGCTAGCACTCCAGAAGATGAGTGTGAGGTGAGAGTGGTTTATTTTATGGGGACCTGATTTGTTTAAAATGCTGCTAAGAATATACCCCAGAAGAAGGGTATAGCATAGCTTTTATTTTGAAAAAGGACATTTCTCTGTAATAAACTCGTATCT